AACGCACCTTGTTTTGGGCTTTTATAAAGGGGAAAGGAAACATTTGTGGTGTTGGACGGTGGGACAAATGTAACTGCTGCTCTACTCCTCGTCACCACTCACTTGTAATATTTTACGTATTTCCGAATTTAGTAGCATTTTTTTTTAATCACAAATTCTTATATGCGGCTCGTTACATAGTGTGACCATTTATATATAAGATGCATGACTTTAAAGAAGTGAAAATAATAAGAGTGATGTCAGTACCTACTCCACCACCCCAACCTCGTTTCTGATCAGTCCACAATTATATATATATATTGGTGTTTAGAGAGCCATAAAGGTGGGGGTGAGAATCGATCCCACGACCTCCTAGAATCGGGAGGAAAGCTCATAACCTAGTTATCCCTCACTTTCGTTACAACTTTTACATACGGTATATACAACTTCTAGGAAGGTTGTTGGTAAACCAAACAAAAATGATCCGTGAAAGGAACTTGTTGAATGCATGTAGTAAGTAAACTAATTACCAAAGAAGTTGGTTATCCAAAAAAAAAAGTAACAAGTTTTATTTCCTTATCAACGTTTTGCTAAACAAAAGTAGTAACAAGTATTTGTATGAGATTGTCTCACATAATTATTTTTATGATTTATGACAAATTGACAAGATATTCGTTATCATTGTAGATATTTCATCGTCATAAAGCTATAATTCTCCATAATGTCTACAAAAATACTACAGTATCAAATATTCTACCGAAATTCTGCTTTATAGTTATATTGTAATTCTCTGGTTTTGCATTTTTTACGTTGTGCCCCCTCTTTTTGAAAATTACATATTGTAACCCGTAATCATATAGTGACCTTGTCGTTAACATATTCTGTAATATTGATTCAATCACCGTTTATGGGGCCTATCCTCCCCTTATTAATACGGAGTATTTTTTATCCATTTGCGTGCTGGAATATCAACTGTTAAAGGTTTCGGGGGGTCATTTCAGTTCTAATGGAACCAAAAATTAAGCTCATAAGCAAAAAAAATAGCATAAATGCCTCGTTTTGCATATTAAGAGATGTCTCGATTTACGAATCATTATTCTTTTAGCATTGAAAATTGTTCAGGTAAGGCAGCGGAGTATGTTTTATAGTTCCAAATGAAGTTCCAAAGTAGCAAAAAAAAAACGTAAAGTCCCATTTGACGTGTTAAGAAACGCAATTAACACGTAAACCGAGACAATTTTTTTTATTTTTTTATTTTTATTTTTTTTTTGCCAATTTTATGCTCAATTTAATTCATTAAGAATTAAAATGACCTATATAAAGTAAAATGTTGGTGACCAAATTAAACTAAATCAACCAAAAAACTCATGCATAGGTTTTATGTTCTATTGTACCATATTCGCCACCATTCTCTTTCGCTCCTTCTTTTCTCACTTTTTCATGGCAGGCTACAAAATTTATGAGAGCTTGTTATATATACCCGGGTATACGATACACCCACTACATCCAAAGATATTTGTTTGCTCATTTGATGATAAAATGAGTCATAATCATTGAAATGAGCAAATAATACCCTTAGGTGCACCGTACACCCGGGTGTATATCACAATTTCTAAAAATTTATCACCCCACAGTCCCACACCATCGACACCAATATTTTTCTTTTCTTAAAAATTATATGGATTTTTTTTTGACAGCGGGAAAAAAGGAGACTAGCTCCCAACAGACTCAACGCAAGAATTAAAACTACAGACAGACTTAGACCTCTTCGCAGAGTTAGTAAAACCATGATACATCCAAGACATAGGGGGACTACTAACATGATTATCTAAGGGGGGGATACAATGAGGTTGACTAATTCCGGTATGGATGTTAGGCATGAGAAGCTCAAGGTTTGATCCTTTACGTTTTCTTGTCTTGCAAACCTGGTTCCTATGATGAGAGACAACTGGCTTCTTCCTCTTCCTTTTTCTTTTTTCCACATGCAACCTACCCAATCTTCTATTATTCAACTTGTTAGAGCTAAAAATGAAGGTGATGGGGGTAGGGATGAGCGGATCCTCCAGATCCCCTTCTAAACCCATGGGGTCATCCTTATTAGATCCTATCGACTCCACTTCAGCTTGATCAGGAACGTGGAAGTCGTTTGTAGGCGTTTCGTTGCCTTTCTCGATGCATGTGGATGCAATGCTGAATTAAAAGCATATACGAGTACTCCTTTATTAACTTTTCTTTTTGTAAATAGGAAAGTTGTGATTCGTTAAGGTATATAATTAACCATACGTGCATGGTGCATGATCCGTCTATTTCTCTGGCCATGTTTGGAAAATGGCTTTTTGGTTAGCTTTTGGTTTTTTTATGAAGTCAAACAGCCAAAAAATGTGTTTGGTAATTGGCTTTTTAGCCAGTGAAAAAGCTGGCTTTTAAGCCAAAATGAAAAAGCTGCTTTGAGTAGCTTTTTTGTTGGCTTTTGGCTTGTTGGCCCACAAATTATCTAATAAACAGCCAACTACCAACTATTAATTTACCAAACACTTTTATAAACAGCCAGCTTTAACAACCAATTTCAAAAGCCATTATAAACAGCCAAGCATACCAGCTGGTCAAACAAGCCAAGTGAACCAGCCAACAGCCAACCGCCAACATCCACTTGCCAAACAAGGCCTCTATCTATTGCATTTTTCAAACTTTCTTTTTTGCAAGCTAAGGTGCACTTGTTTTGGTATTATTTGCCCCTTTCTAGGGTTGAATACATTTTAAGAGTTAAATGGAGAGAAAAAGATAGAGATGCATGTGATTTGGAAAGAGATAGAAAAAATTGACAACTTAAAAGAAAATAAAAACAAATGTTATACATAATGTGAAATATTCAATTTTGGCAAATATAGTATTGCAAACAATGTAAAACAGAGGTTGTAAAATACATTTCCCAACAAGATTATAATTTCTCAGTTAACTAAAAAAAAAACCTTATGCAAAGAGAATGGTTTTCTTTGATTCATTACTTCAAACACTTGATTATTCAGTTGTACATTTTTTTTTGTTAGTTTATTTGAAATATGTTTGGTAAAAAGTAGTTATTGTCCTTGTTGAATTGGCTATCCGCCATAGCTATGTTAATGTGTTAGAGATATGAGATATGTATGCATGCCGAGCACCCAAGTAAGAGACAAATTTCCTTTAAGTGATAATAGAGCTTCTCGAATTTTTGAGAAAATACATTATGATTTGTGGGGTTCAGATCATATAGACATGTGTCGTCTCGTAGAGCTTGTTATTTTTTTGACAACAATTGGTGATTATTCAAGAGTCGTTTGGATTATTTGTTGGTTGAACGTTCATGCTCTATTTAACTCTTACACTGTAAACATTGCTTTTAAGGACATATGTTATTAAGTTTAAGGAAAAATTGTCCAGAATCAATCAAACCTTTTACAGGTAGACCAAGAATAATTTGTTTTTTTTACTACCCTTCAATAATCTATTCTTTTATTTTAGTTTTTATATATGTTCATTGGTTTTTATTGATGTTCATTAGATTCACAGTTATGTGCATCATATTTATGCCTGTACCATTCAATTACTACTTATGTATTGATTACCCCGATCACTTAAGAATATTGGCATATTGCTTGGGAAGTTACATCATAATTATCAATTTGATGTATAAGTTCAACAATAATTATGGGTTGTTATGATACTGTTTGCTTTTTTTTAGCCATTGTGAATTAGAATAGGCATGAAAATAAAGCAATTAATAAAGGGTGTTGCTTATGATTGATTGATTGAAATTAAACTTAAACGCAAACGAAAATTGCACGATGATCATGATGATAAAGTGTGAAATGGTATCTACTTAGCTTATATATTTGTGGTTATGAAATTTTTGGCCCCCATGCCTTAAATTAAAAAGGTTAGTCTCTTAGAAAAGAACTATTATACTGTTGAGTTTGTATTCTTATCCTTTTGGTGTGATGCTTTCAACCTATGACATTTTCTCATACAATCAAATGCTTTAATAGTGCATCGGTTAAATTTCATTTGCTAACTATATTTGCTACAATTTCAATGCATACTTGACTTAAGCAGTCATAGAGCGAAATATAGACACGCGTTTTACTTGTATCGAATTATAAAAATAACTAATAAGGACACTTTAAACGTGAATCAAACACACCCTTATAGGGGTTTTAATTTAGAAGTTGGGATTTTGACATATATTACTTCTTCTGTTCTTAATAATAACACACACTTCTTCACGGTTTTAAGCAAAGTAGGGTTCATATGATTTAATATACTTTAAAATAGGGTGAGAGGTTGTTAGGAGTATAATTCAGTGGGATATGTGCTTAAAATAAGGGAAATTATACAACTTTTTCCCAAAATAATTTTTCAATTGCAGAATCTTGCAAGTATTGTGACATTCCATTTTAGAAAAGTGTTACAACTATTAAAAAATGGAGAAAGTACGATATTATAAGTGAACGTCAAAAGAATTGAGAGAACACACTCGATCTTGAATTGAAGTTGTGAAAGTTAGAGATGAACCTATAGTTTCCCAACTTCCTATCCTATGATAACTACTCGTGTTTGTTTAAGCAACGTTCTTGTTTCATCGCTTTTACTAAATAAAAATAAATAAAAAATAAGGATTTCTACATTCTTGAAAAAGATTTGTCAAGCAGATTATAAAATCTCAAATTCTCTTTACCTTATAATAATCACAACACTTTCCTTTTACGCTGTTTTATAAAACTACAACACTAATCCCATTTTTACAAATACAGTACTTTAATATGACAATATAGGAAGAACTCAAGCTCCCAACGACCAAGAAAATGAGATGAGCCCATTGGGCTAACATAATTGAGTAGCCATTACAATGGTAGCCCAAGAAAAATGTTGCCCAATATTACATTGGACCTTCAATTCTTCAAGTAGTAGAAAACTACGGAGTAAAAAGAAGGTTTTTATTTATTTATTATTTTATTTATGAAGTACATTTTTCGTACAACAATTTGTCTTTTTGCGCACAAAAAAGCTGCAAAAATATTTCCTTTTTGTTTGAATTAAACTCTGCAAACTTTACAAAAAAACCCACTCTGCCACCCTTTCCTTCTTCAGCACTCATCTTCATCTTTTTCAACTACTACAAATTAATTTGTACTGTAATTTTTCTGGATTTTTCTTTTCTAAGTTCTCACGTTTTCAGGGTTTTTCTTCTTCTTCAGAAAAATGGGAGATTCAGGTTCATCAACAATGTCATAAATGGCTGAAGTTTGGCGAGAATTATGGTCAGAAATTCTGAAGAGAATCCCAGCAAAAGAGTTAGGCAAATGCATTTGTGTCTGCAAAATATGGTATTCTCTCATTCTCTCTCCTAAGTTCATAGCTTCACACACTAAATTTCATCAAACCCATCTCAATTTCCTCCTTAGAAGTTTCACTAAACCTTCCCTGGCTGAAAGTGGTGTTGAATCTTACCATTTTTCCTCTGATTCTGAAGAAATTTCTGGGCTTTTTAACAAGGGTTCTATTCTTCCTTTTAAAACCGGGGTGGGTTTGAATTTTCGTGTTGTTGGGTGTGTTAATGGTGTTGTTTTTCTTGCTGATACTCAATTTGGGAACAGATATTCTTTCTATTTGTGGAACCCTTTGATTAAGAAGCATATTAAGGTACCAAAACCAAGAATTGTTTTTGATGTTGTTGGACCTTATATGCATGTTTTTGGATTTGGGTATGATTCCAAAACTCAGGATTTGAAGGTTGTTAGGGTTTCTCATATTCAGCTTAATTCTGGGTTAGATGAGATTCCTCCAAAAGCTGAGGTTTATAGTGCTAAATTGGGGGTTTGGAGGTGGGTTTTTGCTGATGATGTTACTACTTGCATTGCTGAGGATATTTGGTCTCAATGTTTTCTGCAAGGGTGTGTTCATTGGGTTGGGTTTGATAGGAAAGACGAGTCTGATTCGTCGTTTAAGAACAACTGTCTGTTGGTGTTTGATGTTGAGGAAGAGAAGTTTAGGAAGATGGAGCTGCCTTTGGCATTGCTTGAGGTGTGCCCCATTGTTCTTGAGGTTTCTGAATTCAAGGGTTTGCTGTCAATGATTCAGTATAAGAGGAATGGAGACGGTTTTGAGATGTGGATTCAGAAGGAGTATGATGTGATTGATTCCTGGAGTAAGGTTCTGAGTGTTGATTTCGATGAGCCAAAATTGCTGAAGGTTCTAAGGTGGAGGCCAAATGGAGAGGTACTAGCACAAACCTTTGAAGGAGAGCTGGTGTCTTACAATCCTGACACCAAAAACATGATAACTATTCGCGATGATGGCATGTTTGCTGCCTTTTATGCTTGTGCTTTCACGGAGAGCCTGTTTTTTCTTGAAAAAGATTGTGAGAGCAAGAGGTATGAACAATTTTAAATTCATTGCGTGAATGAACTTCATCTTTTTGATGCTATTACATTTGAAATTAAGCCTTGGTTACCTATGCTTTCTTGTGATTGAGTGGCCAATGTGGTTTTAGTGAACCTAATTTCATTGTTCATTATGCTAAAGATTTCTCTATCATCATTAAGTACATGTCTTTCATGGCTCTTCACGTAGCCTTGCTTCTTGGATTTATTTGGTCTCAATTTAGTTGGTTGGTCTTAATTACCTGATTTCTGATACAGAATCTAATCATGAGTTGATGATATTGAGTCCAAAGTATTTGAGTATTTGACTGATGATAGTTTTCTTTGATTGGAACTTCATGTCAGTTGGAAATATTGTTCGGCTGATAAGAGATTAAGAGCTATTAACCTGTTGCTTTACAATGTCATTTTGTGAAGAAATGGATGAAATATGCTTTAGACTCTTGTAAGATTTCTCTTCTGTGTTAAAGTTATGCTATTTGTTGTTACAGGACTGTCCGTTTGGAGGAAGATGACACTATCTGCAATGAAGATGGGAATAGTTCATCTCTAGATACAATCAGAGTGTAAGATGCCTATACTTACATAAATTTGCTTATGGATTTTCCTAAATTGTTCCCTATAGTTGTAGAAAGGAAGCACTTGGGTTGTTTGGCAGTCTTGTTTTTCTACGCTAGTCAATGGATTACATGCATATTGGTGTCTGGCTTATATAATGTCTGTGAATTTTGATGTAAAATGCAGCTTACTCAGTTCACTTATCTGACTAGCTTGCACGTTAATTAGTGTCATGTATGTACTGTATGATTAAAACCTTGAATACTCACCTTAAAATTTTGCTCAGTCAAGCAAATAACCACTCCTTGGTTGCACACAAGTTGTGGTTAAGACAAGTGTATAGTATAAGACATATTCAAGGTTACCTTACAAATGAGAATTTGGATTAAATTGTAAGCTCAATGATAATCAGAAAGTCCAGAACTCCTAAGATTTGTATAAGTCACCCCAAGGTACATCGATCTTAAGATTCTTAACTTATACCTTTTGCATATCCTAGAAATTCTGTAAGCGTACTTTTCATCTGTTGATTTTGAAATGTGCATCACCTGATGCACTTTGACTGATACTTATTTTGTTGTGGTTCTTTGTAGACGCATGGGGAAAGCTTTTGTAATACTCAATCAAATGATTAAGTTTCGTCGTGAATTCTAGATATCTTTTTCAGGTTTGTGATGCTAAATTACTAATGCTATTAAGTGTATTGATTCAGAATCGAAAGCTGAAATGTCCTGATGATATCTTTTTTACTACAATGAAGATTCTTCTAACATTGTGTTTGTCGGATAGTAGTTAAGTGACAATTAAACTATGTGAATTAAGCTTTGTGCCTAGATAACTTCATTTTCATGTGTCTAAAGTCTAATCCAAGAGAATATAGTAGCTAATGTTTGACAACTTGACATCTATTTTTCCATGGAACATTAACCCTTTTTCTCTACATTAACATTCACAAAGCCAATTTTGTCGATTTTGTAATTAATACTTGCATATTGTAACACACTTATGCTTAATTATGAATGAACATGATTCAGCTTATGAAAATCTGTTATGTGAGATGGATTTTACAGCACAAAGTCTTTGAAACATCATTGTGTTTGTTTGTGTAGTGTTAATTCCTCTGTTATGCTAATGTTTGATTTGCCTATTTATTTCAATTCCATGCTATATGCAGCTTGCATGATGGTGTGATATTGCGCGTTGGACCTTTTTTTTTTCCTGATGAGGCACAGTGAGTCTTCGGCTTGTGAAGTGATTGCTTTGGCTTGTGGAGTGGTTAGGACTCTGCATTTCTTTCAACTCGTAAACGAATTATGCTTAGTAAGATGGTAATTAGACATGGGCATGTTACTGTTTAATTGTTAATTTTGTTACTAATTATGTACTCGTACTTAGTAGTAATCGTAGTAGTAGCCGGTGTTTATGTACTACGGAGTAGTAGGTTCAGTACTAACTGGAGGAGTAGAAGGTAAGCTTGCTTTGTTAACAATCAGAAAATGTTTTGTGGCTTAATCCTTATGACTTGAACTCATCATATCAATTACGTAGTATTAAGCTCATCTAAATTCATAATTTCCTTAAAATTAGTACTACAAAGATTTCAACCACAAGTTGTACACAAAGCATTAATGAAATTTTAAAGTGTTTTTAACTAATTAAAACAGAGAATTTGTCTAAATAAGATGAGAAAGATAACTTAATTTAACATCAAAACCTTGTATTTTTCCCAAGTCAACCGTAGAAGAACATGATAGAAGAAATAAATATACGACGTTATATTATAGGATATTATATATATCATTGCCATTATTATTTGCACCGATTGCATAATTATAAATTACGGAGTAATTATTAAACATTAGGAGTTCACTATGAGAGTTGACATTGTCAAAACCAAATCACAAATAGGGATTTTATAGGTATACATTTTGGTTAACAACCTTACAACACTATACTACTCGTAGAGTCGTAGACCCCCAAGTCTATATAAATGAGTGTTACAGACTGTATTAGTAATTTAGTAGTAATGTAATTCAAATTGGGTATCCATTTCACATTCAATTTTTAGAGTACCTATTATTGGATGTAATTTTTTTTTTTTTGGATCGGAACCCCAGATTGGTCAAAGCCACTCATATTAGCTGCATTTTATTCATTCATTTGATTTTTAAAAATAAAATAAAAATAAAAATATTTGTATGTTATTGTATGCTGTAATGTAATGCTGTTGATTGAATAAATTTCCTTCGTTTTCCGTAAAAAAAAAAAAAAAAAAAAAAAAAAGAAAAAAAAAGGATTTTCCTTATTTGAACATGGTTAGATTTCTAATTTCTTCACTACATATATAGTATTTCTAAATTTAATTTGGATAACTCTGGTAAGTGGTAACCTGGTTTTAGTGGTTTAACTCAAGTTTTCTTCACTAAATTGTAGCCCTAATAGTATTTCTAATAGTATTTCTCTTATCCTATGTATTTCGCTACACTGGTTTCTAATAGTATTTCTAAAAGTGAAGAAATACTATATATGTAGTGAAGAAATACTATATACAACCACTAAAACCAGTGTAGCGAAATACATAGGATAAGATAAATACTATTAGGGCTACATATAACTTTACCCAACAAGCTAGTGAATGTTCTTTCAAGTTTTACGCATATATGAGAGTATGGAGTAGTTTTTTAATTTTTAATTTTCGGCGTGCTAAACGAGTGTAGTTTCATATTTAAATCGATTGATAATATGTGATGTACGAAGTAGCGTATTAGGAATTTAGGTTTATTTCGTAAAATTTAGACTTCGTTTAATTCACCTTATTTGATAATGTGTATTTTATTAGTAGGATAATTTATCAGAAAATATTTAAAAGCACCATTTTGTATACCCACTAATTTACTCTACTTCCTCTGTTCTTTTTTACTTGACCTGTTTATTTTATCATGCTTGTCAATGCAAAATTTTAACGATCAATAACTTAAATTCTCCATAAGTAAAAATTATAAAAGTTATATATTAAGATAGTACTTATTGAGACAAATCCAAAAAGATCATACATGAATATATTTTTTCTTACATATTATTCACAAAAGACGGTCAAAGGAAAGGTGGTGAATAGTGTAAAAGTCAAAGCGAGTCAAGTAATAAAGAACGGAGGAAGTATTATTTTTCTAATTTTCTTCCATTTTTTCTAATTGGCTTTAATTTACTCAAACATGCTCAAATCAAGTCCAAATCAATTGCAATTTGCTTCTAAATTACCCTAGCATCACATACATACATAATCAAAACCAAAATAAGCATCAATTGCAAGCAAGATACACAAAATAAATAGGGTAAAAAAAAAAGGGAAATTTTGTGTTACTACCTATTAAGTACACCTATTTTGAAATTACCACCCAATTTTTTTTTTAAAACTACCACCCATTAAATAAAAAAAAAAAAACTAGTTAAAATCACCACCTTTTCATATTTCTGGTCATTTTTCCAACAATAGGCCCCACATAACGGCCATTTTGACCCTATTTTTTTTTTTCCAACGATTAGACATTTTTCTTTTCTACTTTATGTCAAATTGTTGCAAATAATATGTAACGGAAGTAGTATTTGAATTTTATGTGTCACAACTTTTTCATTTGGATTGTACTCGTAAAATTTGCACTTACTCCCTCCGTCCCTAAATTACATTCCTACTTCTCTCTAAGAAATAAATAGTAGAAGTAGGACTGTAATTAGGGACGGAAGGAGTTTTAAAAACTGAAATATGTGATTGCTAACTTTGCTTTATTTCCTTCATGGTAGTAGCTGCAACAAAAACACTTGCTGCTTTAGTTAACGGGTTAATATCTCCTCATATTCGAGAAGCATATGCTCCGTACACTTTTGAAGTACTAGAAGCGAAATTGAATCAGTTGAAGGAGAAGCTAGAAACAGGCAAAGATAAGCTAGCTACATTCGAAAGACAAGTCAATGGGATTGCAATCCCTAACAATGACGCCATAAAATGGAAGAAAGAAGCAAGTGACACCCTCAAAGACGTAGAAGAAAAGATTAAACGCCTGGAAAACAATATAGAAGCCTGTTTCTGCAGCTGATACACATTTTAAGAGATTGGAATACAGCTACAAGAAGCTAGAAAATACTACCTATCAAGATTGCTTTCTGTATTGTGCTTTGTATCCGAAAGGTTGTCCAATCGACGTAGAACAGTTGATAGACAATTGGATATTGGAAGGTTTGCTAGATAAATTTATTGTACCACTGCAAGAGAAGGGAAAAAAAGGGGGGACTATACTAGCAATACTCAGAAATGCGCGTCTTCTAGAGAAAGCGGACTTTAATGGCACCAGAGAGACAGTCAAGATGCTTGGCTTACTACATGATATGGCAGTGAATTTGATACGAGGATCGGGGATGCTTATCGATTCAGGGAATGATCTCACAGACTTTCCATCAATCGATGATCAGAATGGTGAGTTTCTACGAGCCTCTTTCATGTACAATAAACTGAGAGTGCTTAATAATCAACCCAATTGTCCGAGATTGTCCACATTGCTACTTCAGAATAACCCACTTGATCATATTTCAGATGACTTTTTCACTGGAACCCCAAATCTTAAATTACTAGATTTATCTTGTACCAATATTTATAACCTCCCATCATCAATATGTAACCTGAGATTCCTTCAAGTGCTTCATTTACGCCACTGCCTTAACTTGAGATCCCTACCTTGCTTGTCCAACCTCGAAGAACTGATAGTACTAGACCTTTTCGGAACACCTTTAGAAGAACTACCATTAGGAATGGAAAAGTTGAAAAACCTTAGGCGTCTAGACCTTTCCCACTCCAAACTGACCCAATTCCAAGCTGGATTAGTGAGTGCATTAGAAAGTTTGTGAGAATTTCTTTTCATGATGAATGATGCTGAGGCTTATAGTTGGAAATCGAAACAAACAAGGTCAAACTCAAGGGAGGCCTATGTTGAGGAGCTCGCTTATTTACATGAGTTGAGGATTCTACAACTCAATTTCTTAAACAAAGAGGTGTTCAGTGAATACATGAAAGCTATTCCTGGAACAAGGCCACGCCCACGTGCACCTCGTTTTAAGTTCTGTGTTGGTGGATTCAACATAAATGGAAACTTAGGTGAAAACAGTATAGCATTCATTGACGGCTACCCTGTTGGTCAGCAACTTCCAGAAGGAACCTTGGTGCTATACCTGAGTGCATGTAGGTCTGGCAGCTTAAGTCCCAGCAACACACTCGATGAAGCAGGCATCGACTTTCAGACCTTGAAGGTCCTGAATCTCTTTGATTGTAATGGCTTGAACTATCTTTTCACTACAGAGATGATGCATTCTCTCCAAAGCCTTGAAAAGATATTTGTAAAGCATTGTTCCGCACTTTTGGGGATCATAAAGCCTACTGCAAACTCAAGTACCGATTCACCCACAATTGTTTCCTGCTGTCTTCCAGAAATACAAGAACTAGTCTTGATCGACTTGCTACAATTGAAGAGCATATATGCTGACGGACAGGCACTTGAGTGGCCTGCCTTCCGCAGATTCTCTGTGTGGAACTGTGACAAGCTCAAGAGTTTGCCATCGGTCGTATCTAGATTTGGGGAAGGTCCTAGAATAATAAAGTTTAGAGGAAATTCCAATTTGGATGACACTAGTAATCTTGAAATTGAAGAAGCTGATGTACCTGAAGACATAATTTCTTTTCAAAGGTACTACCAGAACTTGTTTTCTTAACAACAAAAGCTAAGAATCTAAATAGCAAAAGACTGACATATTTACTTTCTAATGCAGCATTAAGAAACAAGAATCAGGTACAAATCTACTGCCCAACAACAATCGAACAATTAATTTCAGGAGAGTAACAGGGAGAAATTGTAAGTTATATGTTGATAACCTTTAAGAAAATTCCAAGTCTTCATTAGTTTAGTCTGTTAACAAAGATATCTACAGACTGATGCCATCACCCCAATGGAATACATGCGATAAATTATGCAGGACCTGCATTTATTATATCAGAGAATGAAGAGATTGCAACCTCTCCTCAGAACCCTGGATACATAGTACGCGGCTTGGATAATTTCGCCAATTTGGTCAAGGAGGCACAGAGACGCATTGGTGTACTGTTTATAAATTAATCAACCGCGACTCAATTGTTATGGCAGCAACCAAGATATTGGTGCAAGTTCAGTAGTAATCGCATCAACTATGAGCAAAGCTATGCTGGTAAAGTCTCTTAGGGATCAGCCAATCATCTGCATCAGTCAGACAGTCACTGTGTTCTTATATAAATCTCTAGTTGATTATCTATTACTCTTTCGGTTCTTGTCTTTATAATGTTGGGTTTTGTTCAATAAAGATTGTGCTTGATGAGGGTTTTATACTCATTATCATATACAAAGTACGAATTAGACAAACTTGACTCGTACCCTTTTTCTTGTCGAAGTATTAGACATATAGCATTACCTATGATCTTTTTTTTCGTCTAGGAGACCTACAGAGATATCCTAGGTCAAGTTCAGTAACAATCAGA